CCGACTCTTTGCGACCCCACAGACTAACCCACCAGGCTCCTCTGTCCATATGCTGTGATAAAAATTCTTTGTTCAACTTTTCAGAAAATGAAAGTGGGTAGACTATTTCAGCATTTGTTGATTGGTTTCATAGTACAATAAATAATTTGGACAGCCTGGGAAGCACAAATCAGATGATATGGAAAGGTTGACTTAAGAAAGAAAACAAAACCACAAACCTCAAGTCTAGATGAAAGTACTTCTATGGTTTAGAAAAATATCTTGGACTAAATGAAAAAGTAACTTAAAGCATTATTATAGAACAGCCTAAAACTTACAGAACACTATGTAACTAGTGGAAGTATAAATAAAATACAGGCAATTTTATAGCATCAAATCATATTTCAGACCTAGGCTTGATGCCCAGAATTTTATAGAAACATACCATAAACTCAGTACTTAATCAACTATAAATGATATTCTTTTGCCCTTTTGAAGCATATACAAATTGATTAAACTCGTCACATGCCCAGAGTAGCATGCTAACTAGTCTCTCTGCCTCCAGTGTCACAGCTTTCTACTTTGGCCTCCATGAGCCCCCTTAGTGTGTCAGTGAACTCTCTCTAGTTACCCTCATGCCCTGTTTCAGGGCTTTCTCTTGGCATCTGAGCAGAGGAGAGGAAAGGGGACTGGGGTATAGTCCCAGGCGATCATAGCGATCAGTGAAGTTATTTGAATGCTAGTGGTTTATCTCAACAGTTCGTCATTTCTTTAAATATTTTATTTTCCATCCTATCTGCAGTAATTTCACTACCAAAAAAAAATGTCTAATTACTTAACAGAAATGAAACTGATGTTTAACAGGGGTGTCAAATGATATTCTGTGACACACTTCAGTATATATTTTCTTAAATGAGAGACATTAAGTCTATCAACTAAAATGCCTTAGCCTAAAAGACCTTCCACAGCCCCTCTAGAATGAAGGAATCCTTTTTTATGGAGACAGACCTTTCAAGATATGGTATAACCCAGACTACCCTAGTGACTCCATGATAAAGCATCTGCCTGCCAGTACAGGAGATGCAGATTCGATCCCTGGGTCGGGAAGATCCTCTGGAGGACGAAATGGCAATCCTCTCTGGTATTCTTGCCTGGGAAATCCCGTGGACCAAGGAGCCCAGTGGGCTACAGTCCACAGGATCACGAAGAATCAGATATGACTTAATGACTGAGCACAGCACAGCACATAACCCAATCTAGGGTTCCTTGTGAGTGCAAATTAAACTACTAGAAAATATAAAACAGTTATTCTGTTTAGATTGCTTTGTTTAGATCTTGATTAAGTCTCAAGTCAGGAGACTTCTGGCAGGCTCCAGCATTAGGATAATAAACATGCAAAGTCTGAAGGTGAAACTGGAAAGCTCTTTACAATTCAGCAAAGGAGTCAAAGATGCACATACTTTGTAAGATCTCTTTGTGACCCCCCCCCCATATGTATTATCTCTGTTTCTCTTGGTGATTTATTCAATAAACGAATGTATATGGAGCACATATGTGCGAGGCATTGCTTTAGGCTCTGTGTATTGAGCAGTAAATAAGATGACTGAGGACCTTGTTGTCATGGAACTTTCACATCACAGGGAGGGGACCGACAAAAAGCAAACAAATAAATAAATAAGTTCCATGCACAGAACTGAAACAAAATGATGTCATAGAAGAGATACTGGAGGTTAGTACATGATAACTCTTAAGCTGGATGCCAGGAAAGGCAGTTCACAGGAAAGGATACTTAAAAGAGAAGCTTTAATTAAATTAGGAGAGTTTCATTCCATAATCAATCTGGAAGGAAACGAGAAAGTAGGAGGTGACATGCTTTAAAAAAAAGAAAAAGACTGTTAGCTCTCTTGAGTTTTCTGGCAGGAAATTATGAATGCCTCAGAGCACTGTCTTTTATCAGCCCCTTTTAAGGATTTCAAAGCTTAACTATAACGTCAGTGACTGTAAAGGAAAATTTTCTTTTCCTTGGCTTCTCTGAATGGGGAATGTACCACTCATTCAGATGCTGCTGTCCTTGTTCAAACAGCTTGGAACTTTGGATCTATCTTTTGGAATTTGCCTCCTGAGCTGTTCATGGTTGTTGATGTTAATTTAGTTGCTCAGTCATATCCAACTCTTTGTGACCCCATGGACTGTAGCCTGCCAGTCTCCTCTGTCCATGGAATTTTCCAGGGAAGAATACTAGAATGGGTGCCATTTCCTTCTCCAGGGGATCTTCGCAACCCGGGGATCGAACCCACAACTGCTACATTGGTAGGCGCATTCTAAGCCTACCGCTAAGGCTCCATGGAAGCCCAGGCTGTTTATTACTTGCTAGCAAAATAATTTAATTTTATTCTGTCTCCTTCTGCTCTTCACCTCCAGGCTTTACTGAGTTCCTCTGATTATCTCAGTTTCCTTTTTCTTGCTCCCAAGGGTCCCTGAGGGCTGTTGTGGTCCCATCCTGGAGGAGAACTGATTGAGTTCCTATATCAGTTTGTCACCAGTCAAGAGAAAGAAGCCATATAGCAATTTGAACAGGGAAAGTGTTATAATTTATAAACACTATAACATAGAAATAATTACAATATAAACTCTAGTAGAATTTTGGAGAAACAAGTTAGTAAGATATAAAAAGAACTCTGAAGAACATAGGAACAGAATACATGAGGAGCAGCCACTGTATTTTGAGCTGATATTGAACCCAAGCAGGGGCCCCTGACTGAGGTAGGGAGGGCATGTATGTATTGGAGAAGGAAATGGCAACCCACTCCAGTGTGCTTGCCTGGAGAATCCCAGGGACACAGGAGCCTGGGTGGGCTGCCATTTGTGGGGTCGCACAGAGTCGGACACGACTGATGGGACTTAGCAGCAGCAGCAGCATGGCTAATAGCACCCTTCATGGTATAGAGTCTCTCTGGTGCCCTACTGGGGGAGCTTGGTGCTCTGTCTTTTGGAACTTTCCAGAAAACCACCCTCTAGGGATTGGTGAAGCTCCCTTATAGGAGGGTTCTCATCAGAGCACGTTGCTATAAAAGTGCCTGAGGCACTGAAGTACTGGAGAAAACTTCTAATCACCAGGTCCTGTCAGCCATCACACACTGCAGGAGCCGGGCCCTGTAGAAGCCCACGCTCTGCAGAGACCTGCTAGGTGAGCACACAGAATGGGGAAGAAAGAACCCTTGCCTCTGCATCGTCTCTTCAGAGTCCTTTCCTGATGGATCTCAACATGCTCCCAGCTACCAAAGGAAAAATTAAGGGCATGGATTCATTTTCACATGATAAGCAATTAAGTGTGACTCCAGAGCCAAGAGCCAATCATTGAATAACTGGCACAGTTGGTAAGACAGTTTTACATGAAGCACTTAGAGCAACTTCTATGTGTGTGAGCCACCTGCCTGCTAAAGGTATTCAATAAAATAAACTGACACTATGATTAATGGAAAAGAATACTTGATCAAATATGCATTAAATCGTGGTTCTCAAAGAGAAAAATAAAAATATTAATGTGTGTATGTATATACACCACTCATATATATAAAGTCTAATATATAATATATGTGTGTGTGTGTTACTTGCTCAGTCGTGTCCGACTCTTTGCGACCCCATGGACTGTAGCCCACCAGGCTCCTTTGCCCGTGGGATTCTCCAGGCAAGAATACTGGAGTGGGTTGCCATTTCCTTCTCCAAAAAGGCTGATGAAAGTGTGTAAACTCAAGATGATAACCATACTGAGCAGCACAGTCGCAAATACATAAAATCACCCATCCTCCTGGCATACCACTTTTAGTATAAAGGTGCCATCATAGCTTTCATGGAAAGATCTCTTCTTGTTTCTGAGATTATACTCATTTTGTTATTCTGACTCTTTGTGACCCCATGGACTGCAGCATGCCAGACTTTCCTGTCCTTCTCTCTCTCTGTTATCTCCAAAAATGTGTTTATTGCAGATTTGACTGCAGCAGAATAATCAGATGTGAATTTATCTGTATCATGAAGCAAAAAGTCCACATATGGATAGTTGCTGAGAATTAGTATTAGCAATACTAAGCAACTTAGTATTAGGGTCAGCCTTTGCTGGGATTCCCTTGGCCTTCCTCTAAGGGCTACACAATTGCTTCTACAGTTTCTGCCGTTACATCTCCATTCAAGTAAGGAGGAGACAGAAGTGTGCCAGCTACATATGACTCCTTTTATCAGCTTTTCTGGAACATCCCCGAATGACTGGTTTCATTCTCATTAGCCAGTTCTGGGTCACATTTCCTTACTTATAGTTGCAAGGGAATTGGGGGAAAGCAAAGAATGACTTTATCATCACTATCTTAGATCAAAGGTCAGACAAATTCTGGCCTCCGGAACAAATTCAGGCCATTGTTGCAAATAAAGTTTTGTTGAAACAGAGTCATGCCCATCTACTTACACATTGTCTGGGACTGCTTTCATATCACAGTGGCAAAGTTGAATAGTTATGAGAAGGACAGAGGGCCTGCAAGTCCTAAAAATTTTACTATTTCACCTTTTACCAGAAATGTTCATTGACCTCAGGCTCAGACCAGTCATGAACCCTTGCTTGGTGTTGACCACTTTGAGGACTAAATGGTCTTTCATTAAGCAAGGAAGAAGGAGGAAAAATGACATCGGAAAAGCACCAGCCATGTATACCCAGCCACCTGGTCTAACCAGTCGTATGTAAGACCACCAAGGCATAACACATTTCCTGTTTTGTCGGAGGGTCGCCTTGAACTTACAACTTGTCTGTTCCTTTGTCCCTTCGTTTCTACATGAGCCAGGAACAAAAATTTAGAAAGGTAGAAATTTGTAAATATACAGAATCAAATGATTGACAGTGTTGTGATACATCATGAATTCAGGAAGATAACCCCTAATTTACTGATTTTTATACAGCACTGTCTAAGGTATTGTCAGACTGAGTCTGAGACACACATTCCACTGACTGACAATTCCCTTCAAACTGCTTATTTTAGGTCCTTGCATACACTGAAGGGCTTCATGGAAAATGGATGTTCAGTGAGATACGAGCTGTATTTTCAAGACGTTATCTTCTACAAAATACTGCTTTGGAAGTGTTTATGGCAAACCGAAGTAAGTCTCCTTAAATATTTTGAAAGAAAATGTGCTGCTGAATGTTAATGATTGACGTGATGTGATACTGACTTGATTTTTTGCATTGTATTTCTTTCTTTGATATGCTGCTGCTAATGCAAAAATAAAAGTTAAAAAAGAATGTATTTGTTTGAAAATGTTAATCCTAGGATAAACTTACAAGGAAATCTAATTTCCATGAAGATTCATTACCTTTACAAATAAATCATGAAAGGCACTTGAAGAATGATTTCTGAAATTAATGGTTAGCTCTCCTGTGGTTTTCTAAATCATGTTTTTTCTTCTTGCCACAGCTTCAGTTATGTTTAATTTCCCTGATCAAGCAACAGTAAAAAAAGTCGTCTATAGCTTGCCTCGGGTTGGAGTAGGGACCAGCTATGGTTTGCCACAAGCCAGGTAATTATATCATATTACATGTTACCTATGGTTTGCTAACATATTTCCATCTCAATACAACAAAAATCTGAATAGAGTTATGCCATTGTAATTATTTTGAATACCAAGGAGTTGTCTTCCTCTGCAGGTCCTTTGTATGAAAATAGCTATTTTACGAATGACAGAATAGGGAATAATTTTATTTAAATGACAAAGTAAGAAAGTTGATTGCATCTTATAGCAAGCATGTTAAGACATTTTGCTGAAGATCTTATGAAAGACATGCCAAAAGCCTCATGATGTTTGTGATTAATTGTTGTGTAATAACATATAGTTTTTTATAAGTGTTGTGTAAAAAGACTTCTTCATTACAGTAATAAAACTCTTAGGGTTTATTGAGATTAATAGTCATTCATTATGGTGTGGTTATAATCATTTCCTGAATCTTTCATCTTTGTATTTTAAATGCATTATTTTGAAATCTTACTTAGTCAAAGATACTACTCTGTGTAGAAAACATGGTCAGTAATTATGTGTGTCACTAATATCAATTAGTTGGTTTTGGCTGCGAGTAACTGAATGACTAAAAGTGGCTTAACCAATAGGGTTTTGGTTGTAGGGGTTTTGTTTTATGAAAGAGGTGGAATTAAAAAGAAGTTGCCAGGGGCTGTCCTGGTGACTCAGTGGTAAAGAATCTGCCTGCCAATGTAGAAGACACAGATTCAACCCCTGATCCAGGAAGACCGCACGCGCCGTGGAGCAGCTGAGCCCGTGCACGCTGACTGCTGAGCCTGTGCTCCGAAGCCTGTGAGCCGTAACTGCTGAGCCTGTGTGCGCAGCCGCTGAAGTCTGCGTGCCTCGAGCCCGTGCTCTGCAACGAGAGAAGCCGCCACGGGGAGAAGCCCACACACCACGTCTGGAGGGTAGTCCCCACACACAACAGGAGAAAAGCAGCAAAGGAGACCGGTATAGCCAAAGATAGATAAATGTATAAATAAAAATTTAAAACATAAAAAAAGGAGTTGCCAGTATTGGCTCAGAGGGTCAGTAATGTCAGGACTCTAAGTTGGCCTCATATTCCCCAGGTAACCACTACTGCTCTGAATACCGCATCTTCATACCACTGTGTTCAAGGACGAGAAGGACACAAAGGACTTCCTGAAATTCTGTGTTTTAGAAGGGAGTGCATTTAGCAGTCCCTTTGGCCAGAATGGAGTCACCTTCCTGCCCCTAAAATAACCACTGAACACTGAACGTGAAGCCAAATCATCCCTTACAAGTCAAGGAAAAATATACCTCTGAACTCCCTGCCACCTCCTATCTGAAAAAAATACACTTTCTGTTGTTAAGGAAGAAAGAGAATAGTCGGCTTCGGGCAGACAAGCAACAGTGTCTCCCGTGTGGATCGTTAAGTGCCTGGGAGTTGTTCCAGAGCGCTGCATGCATGGAAAGGAAAACCAATCTTTGTCCATCTTCCCCTTAAATAGGCTACAGACATTTAAAAGGCAGGAACTGTGTCTTATTTATCTTTTAATCTACAATACCTAGCACACTGCCTAATTGCAAAGGTGCTTTTAAGTGCTACTCAACTAGAGTTACCCTGCATTACAAAGTCTCTATTCTCGTATTAAGCTTATAGTGTAAAACCAATTCACAGACATGCTTGCACATGCTCAGGGTATTTGCTATTTTGAACAACAAAATTCACTTAAGACATTAGTAGACAACGAAGTACTTATATAAAATACAGGTCAAAAGAAAAATGCATTTAATCTAGCAAAAAAAAAAACAATGAAGTTAGTTTTGCAAGGCTTATTCTTAATCTAAGCTGACTCTTAGTAATCACTTCTTCCTTTTGCAAGTACCTACAAATTGTTTAATCATCAAGTCAAGAATTCTTCCAGGAATTGAATTTAAGAACTCACAAACAGGCCTAACTTTTTCTTTTTAAAGAATAACCATCTGCCTCCTGGCATATTTCTCAATGACCATGATTCTTCAAAGATTACCAATAGAGTTTTCTGATTTCTTTCGGTATTCTTCTACTTGTCAGGACCTGAAATCATTTAAAACAACTAGAAATTCTTTTACTATATTCCTTATTTCTTATAATTTTCCTTTCAGCCACATTTAGACTCAGATTTTTGGAATGCTGTTCTTCTTGATGGAAAAACTGGAAACAAAACATATGTTTAGTAACTTTGGAAATTCTACCTTAAGATAGTTTTTTGTTGCCCCCTTTGTGTTCCCCCCAAAGACTCAACTCATTATTTGTTTCCCAATAAAATATTCATAAGTTCAGTTTTGTTTATTTCCTGTGATATTTAGCCTTGGAGGTAGCAGATGGAGGTTGGAGGAACATTGAATCTAGGCTCAGACCTGCCACTTACTGGCTGGGTAACAATGATAGGGTCTGATCTGATTGTAGGAACTCAGATAACATTAAGCAAGAAGACTGAAGTTCTCATCTACTATAAAATGGGCACAGTGTTTTGTGAAAGATATTTCAACAAATGTCCTAAGACCATAAAATGAATGCACTTTGTGGACTGTGAACACACATATACACTATACACATGCATGTGGGCATGCACACATAGATATAGATGGTAGGTAGGTAAGGAGGTAGGTAGCTGGATGAGTAGATAAATAAATATACACACAGACACCTACAAAGAGTGTGTGATATGTAAGATCCTATTATATTTAGAGAATTGTCAAACGGAAGGGATGATGTCTGACTCCTACAAATAGAAGCCTTCCAGCTGAGAGTATCTTGGTAAAATCACCAAGGGATCCATTCTTTACTTTGTTTTTTTGACATCAGGTTTTGTCAGTTTAAAGAAGAGTTTATCAAACTCTAGGGAATATACCCTAAACTAAGCCCAAAGGAGACTGCTTTAGAAGCAAACAGACAAAAATGATCAAACTCAAAGGCAGGTATACTGCCAGAAAATAGACTTCACATATCACTTAGGCCACTTCTTGTGCAAGCCCACCAAAGAGATCACATTGCAAAGATTTAGAACAAAAGGAATATTTCCATAAAGCTAGCAGAAAAGACCATGATTCTGGGAAAGATTGAAGGCAGGAGGAGAAAGGGATGACAGAGGATGAGATGGTTGGATGGCATCACTGACTCAATGGACATGAGTTTGAGCAAGTTCCAGGAGTTGGTGATGGATGGGGAGGCCTGGCATGCTGCATTCCATGGAGTCACAAAGAGTTGGATATGATTGAACTGAACTGAGCAGAGCCTAATGAACATCCGTCTAGTTTACATGCACGTCTCATTTGCTGAGCACTTTCCAAGTCCCAGGGACTATACTTTGTATTCAAGTTTATAAGCATTAGTTTTTCGCTTATAAACAGCAGACATTTATTTCTGGCAATTCTGGAGGATAGAAAGTCCAGGATCACTAGCAGATTTGGTGTCTGCTGAGGGCCCAACTCCAGGTTCATAGATGGTCATCCTGTCCATGTGTCCTCACGTGGCAGAGGGGCACTCAGCCCTTAATTCTTAAAACCATGTGGATTCTTAATAGATTTCTTTTTAAAATTTTTTTCTTTCTCTCTTTTTTTTTTTTTGCCATACCATATGGCATGAGGAATCTTAAGTTCCTCTACCAGGGACAAAATGGTTGCCCCTTGAAGCAGCAGCATGGAGCCCTAGCCACCAGACGGACAAGGAAGTTCCTTAATGGAGTTCTTACCCCATGTTACAATAGGAAGTTTTTGGTTTAGATAAGTTACTTGTCTTGCCCAAGATCATAACCCATTCTCTTAATTTCTATTTGGTGTCATCTATCAAAGTAGTCCACATTGGTCAAAAGAGCAATTCCCTTACCCCATGCATAATGATAGAAAAATACTGACAAAGAATTTGTCCGTTTTCTAGACTCCATGCTGATTGTCATTGTTTGGTTAATGTTTTGCTATTTTCTATCCAGACGGTCATTATAATCAATAAATTTTGAGTATAGTTAGATTCTTTACTTATTAAGAATATACCTCATTGCATATATAGAGTTAATGATTTTAAATGGTCACCATTTGTTATAGTACTTAGTATTTTTTTCCAGAAGTCAATTTTATCTTCTTCTTATTCCCCAGTTGTAAAAGCATTTTTGTGTAGCGCGAATATGTACCAACTATACTCATTCAAATGTCCAAATCTTTATAGGATATTTTTAATTACCCTATTGACTTACTGCTTACCATTGTGCTTCTTCTTATGATTGAATTTATTTATTTTTTTTTTAAATTTCATCTCTCTTTAGCCATTATTTTTTGGGGGGATAGATTTGGATAATAACTCAAGTCATTTGGTTTATACTTATTTAGACCCCACTCTAGTTCAAGTATTGTTAAATGCTAAGGACATAACAGTATGTATAACATAGTTCCTGCTCTCAGTGAGTTTATAGTAGAAAAGAGAGAGCAGTAAAGAGGAAAAACTGGTCCTTTCCATGAACTTGCTAATAGTAATCTGATTTTCTAAATTCATTTTGTCTGCCTGTATTTTTCTTCACAGTTGCGTACTCTAAGAATGACATGATAACCTTCTCCTATTAGTTCCATTATTTATCCTTATCACAATTTGTTTGGTCTTGGTTTTTGAGTGTTTTTGGTGCTCAGGATTATTTCCATATCAGCAATTTTCTTCTTAAATTCTCTAGGTTTAAAATGTTGACAAATAAATTTACAACTTTATTCTATACATTGCTTTTAGCAGACTAAGCATGATGCTGGTTAGAATTTTAGTCAGATTAGCAAGAATATGATTAAAATAGTAATACAGTGAAAATTGAACTAAGCACATAATTACAATAGTGGCAAGTAAAAATTGGGTCAATATAGTTTATTAATTGATAATTCAGAAAATATTTTAGCATGTTGCTATGACAAATCCAGAATCAAGGCTAAAATTAATAGCATAAATAATTGTGTAAGTGAGAGTATCTGGCCTAGAAAATTTTTGAATAGTGGTGCTGGAATGGCTTAAAATCTGGAAGCCCTTTTAGTAGCCCTGTGAAAATCATATTGCCAGTTAATTGAAAAGTGTACTAAGATATAGTATTTAAGTTAAGTATGAAATATATATTCCCCTTACCATTGCAATTAGGCTTATATAGTTCTTATGGAATCCTTAGGAGCTATTATCTCAAGTATATATAACTAGGAAAGCCCCAAAAATGTTAATATGTGACCAGGCTGCTATAAAATATTAAGTTAACATTTTAAGCATTGAGTTAGACATAATTATTTTTTAAATTCTTAATTCAAATTTTAATTTGACATACCGAGTTTATTCCCATTCTTCCTTCCTCCTTCCTTTTCTTCAACCCCTATGTCTTGAGTTTCTCTGGTGGCTTAGTGGTAAGGAATCCGCTTACCAATGCAGGAGACACAGGTTCAGTCCCTGGGTTGGGAAGATCCCCTGGAGAAGGAAATGGCAACACACTCCAGTATTCTTGCCTGGGAAATCCCATGAACAGAAGAACTTGGCTGACTACAGTCCATGGGGTCAAAAAGTTGGACATGACTTAGCAACTAAACAGCAAATTATATCTTAGCTCTTGCCATGGTTATTAAGATCTCATGTGAATGTAAACATGATAATAAAACATGGGAGATAAAAATAGTCTTAGGTCCACAGCTCCCACCATGGAGCCCTAAGATGTCACAGTGAACTCTCAGGCCTACTGCAGAGCATTTTACGGTTTTTTAGGGAAATACAGCAGCATCTATCAAATACTGCACAAACTCAGTTCAGTTTAGTTCTAATCTTCAACATTTGATGGCACTGCATTCTTGTATTCTTTTTGACGACATCTTAGCTTTGTGAAACTAATTTTTAGGGGTTGCTGTGGTTAAAAAAAAGAAGAGGCACCCCATGAGAATTCATGTGGGACAGGAAATGAAAATGGTAGTGTCAGGTATAATTCCCAGGTTTAAGAAGCTGTGCAGTGCCCAGCAGGTGTACATTGCACCCCTTTAGTAAGTAATTGTGGTTATTTAAGAAGGAAATGAAATACTAGTTTTCTTTCAGATTTTGAATATTGTATTCTCAGACAGCTACTAAGTTGTTATGGCTCAAGTGTTAAGTTATTTAGACCTAACTACTCAATAAAGAGAACTGTTAGATGTTTCTCTTGGGCTAGGGACACCATGGAAAAATTCCTGAGATGCTAAAGGTGGCATAAATTCAAAATGTTTGGGAACTTCTTTGTTAAGTGGTGATTGTTTTAGAAACTCAGCCTTATCATGCTTTGACAAAATCAGTCAGCTTTTAGAGAAATACATTGCACCTTCAAAGGTTTGTAATTTACACAAATTCTCCTGACTTAGTCTCTTAAGATACTCCTATGTTCCTTCTATTCCTATATTTTCAAAGACATTCCTATATTTTCAAAGTTCTCAGTTGCTTGCTTTTGACCTTCTAGAGGATTATGTATCATGTAGTTAGAGGCTGTGCTCATGTGCACACTCTGTAGGGAGACAGGCTTAAAAAGTTCAGAGGGGTCATTATTACATAAGGTTTGAGTCAGATGCTTATAAGCTGCTACCTGACCATCTACCTAGTATCTTAGCATGGGGTAGGTTTGCTGTGCTGTTTAAAAGCTACTTTGACTTATTTTGAGTACAGTTTAACCTTTTTTGTTCTTATTGACTTGTAAAATATCCACTTGGAGCAATGTTATACAAATAGGTGCTTTCATATTACTTTATTCTAAGTAAATACATGTATCTCCTCTAATGGATTTTTTTCAAATATTGCTAATTCTATAACTAAAATGTATTTTGTAATTTATCTAAGAAGGATAAACCATACATTGAATTATATCAAATCCATATATTAGTTATTATTGGACTTTTAAAGGTTATGAGTTTAAAGAAATTGTTATAATTTGCTTAATTGCTAGGAGGATATCACTGGCCACTCCTCGACAGCTTTATAAATCTTCCAACATGACTCAGCGCTGGCAAAGAAGGGAAATTTCAAACTTCGAATATTTGATGTTTCTTAATACTATAGCAGGTAAGACATCTCATTCTTTAATCTCATAATATGTTTATGTTCATCAAAATCCTCGATAATGTGACTTGATGGAATACATTGTTCTCCTTGGAATTCAAATACAGCATCAGAATAAATATTGAAGCATTCACCTTAAACTGCTATCAGAAACTATACAAGCTAGCACTAAGGTTTAGTTGCATTTTATTGTTGAAGGGGCTTTTCCTTACTCTCCTTCTGCCGTTTCCTTTGCTGACAGCTTTGTCTGAAGGTTTATTAGAGTCAACAAACCATTGCCAGAGAGTGTCTGGAAATAATAATGGGAAAATGTAATTTCACTACTTTGTCATTCTCATCAGTAGCAGCTAGACAGGAGAATAACAACAGGATTCTGCCTAGTACAGATGTCACCTGGATCACGGCATGATTGGGTTACAATGTGTTTTTTTCCTTAGAATCTTCAAATGAAAATATAAAATCAGATTGCATTTCTGAATGATGAGTAACTGCCATCAACTTTAACAATACCATGCTTGTAAATTAAGAGAGGGTAGTGTTTTTATTTTTCTGCTACATCAGTGGTCATCAGTAGCTGAGTATGTCTATGAGATTTAAGTACCTCTGTCTTTTTTTCTTAAGTTAGGCTCCAAAGCCCTTATTCATGTTGAATTACAAAGAGTTTGCTTCTGTAAATCAGGCTCAACAAAAACTTTTTTTTTTACAATAAGATATTAAATAACTATGCAGTACATAGGTATATGATTATTCTTTCCCCTATGGATCTAGAGCCCTGTTCTCTGAATCACTGCTTAAAAGGATAACTGTGTAGTATAGCTCTTTTATAATCTATTACATATGTATGAATATGAATGCTATAGGCTTATATTAAATATGGATGATATAGATATGTATTAAATAGACAAAACAACTCAATTTGTTGACATAAAGGGATAAAAAGTTGTTTAAAATGGTTTTGCATTTTAATCATTTACTACATATTATAGTATTGATGCCTTTGCTAAATAGGATGCTAGAGGTACAACTAAAGAACTATTTTATTATATATATTAATTTTTATTGTATACTTCATATACACATCTCCATTATATAGATATATCTTCATGACATATTTATATATATTCACATAATAGTCTATACAAAGTATATATCTTTAAAAAAACCTATTTACTTACTCAAAAATAAAGGAAATATGTTATACTATTTAATTAATACATATTATATACATACAGAGAGTAGAATGAACTTAAACATCTGAAATGTAAAGAACCTATCTTCATTAGTATATTTAGGTAAACAGCATGATGTAACATAAGTATCATTGCCAAAGTGAAAAAGGATAGAATATCAAATCTGCCAACCTCATGTCTTAGCCCATAGGTGAAATTTCAAGTTTTAACTTTATCTTGGACTTTAAATCTTTTAGTAGCCATGTTTGATATTTCTTTGCATATGTTTTAACAACTGATATGTTTAGTCTTATATCATCTTGTCTTATACTATTGCTTGTAATATTTTCTTGCTTTCCCCACTGTTTTGTTTCTCTTTGGCCATTTAAATAAATTTCTGCCTACTTTTTTTAGAGATTTAGAACATAAGCTTTTTGTTACTACTTCTCCTAGAGAATTGATACTGATATGTTTACATTTTTTAAAAGACTCTCTGAAATGTATTTCTGTTACCTTTGAACTAAAAAATGAATCAACATTTTAAATCAGCCCTATGCAAAGTAAGAACTTTCACTCAATTTACTTCTTATTCATTGCTTATCTTTGTCAATATAATTTACTACCAGAATCTGTATTATTATGAAACACTTGTTTTTGGAGTCCATATATTTTTGCATATTAAGAAGGGTTTTGACTTTTTATTAAAATCTTCTCATTAATACAGTATATTGTTTTCAGCTACATGGATCTTTGGGGCTTCCCTGGTAGCTCAAAAGAATCTTCTGCAATGCAGGAGACCCGGGTTTGATCCCTGAGTCAGGAAGATCTCCTAGTGAAGGAAATGGAAATCCACTCCAGTACTCTTGCCAGGAGAATTCCATGGACATAGGACCTTGTTGGGCTACAGTCCATGGTGTCACAAAGAGTCGGACACGACTGAGCGACTTTCACTTTTCACATGGATCTTTACCTGATTTTTCAGGATAAAGTTCTCTCTTTTTTTTCTTCTGCAGTATTCTTCCATATTCCCTGTGTTAGGTTTTTCTATTATATATCCTTCAAGGATCTTTCAAGACTCATGGTCTATCATATGTCATAGATAAGTGTATGACTTTTTCCCCTTGATTCTGGTACCTTTTTGGAGCTTTTGGAATTAAAACTGGAAGACATGGTGGTATGCCTCACTCCTAGTTCAGTTTCCAGTGGAGCTAGCATTTTTCCTAGAAGATTTTGCTGTTCTAAAATGGAATTCTGTCTGCCTGTCCTCTGGATGGAGTGTCAGCTGGTTGGTTGTGTTAAGGACACATCTGGTCTCCATCCCTCCTCACTGCCTTTTACTCATGTCAGCTGCATTTCCCAAAGTGTGGTGCACAGTTCCACCTGGAACCACCACCTATCTCATGCCTGTTGCTTTCTGGCAGTTTCTCTGTCTGGCTCTAGAAAAATTGCAGTCTTGCTAGAGATAACATCGTGAGCTGATCTAAAAGCTTCTCTGACCAGTATGAAGTGAAAGTGTTAGTCTCTCAGTGGTATCCAACTCTTTGTGACCCCATGGACTCTAGCCCACCAGGCACCTCTGTCTGTGGAATTTCCCAGACAAGAATACTGGGGTGGGTTGCCATTCCCTTCTCCAAGGAATCTTCCCAACCCAAGGATCAAACTCAGGTCTCCTGCACTGCAGGCAGACTCTTCACTGTCTGAGCCGCCAGGGAAGCTCACCCTGAGCAGTATAGACAGAGCTTTTCTTTCTGGTAGGGACAATCTTTGGGTTTCTGAGCCAGGGCACACAGATAGTAAGGGGAATTTGAGTGTCTTCCTAACTTCTTTTGAATAATTGGGGTCTACTTTATTTGGTGACATAGAAAATGTATAGACCACAGGCATTTTTTAAAAGAACATATTGGGTATTTTTCTTAATACGATTATAATTAAACATTAAAGTCTGTCTATTGTAGACAATAGACTAAAAAGAAGTATAAAGCGGGTGAAGACTCTCCCTGCAATATGGGAGACTCAGGTTCGATCCCTGGGTCAGGAAGATCCCCTGGAGAAGGAAATGGCTACCCACTCCAGTATTCTTGCCTGGAGAATCCCCACGGACAGAGGAGCCTGGTGGGCTACAGTCTATGGGGTCGTGATAAGTCGGACACAACTGAGCGACTTCACATTTACGTTTAGGAATCAGAGCATTGCAACTAGTCGGGTGAATGAAATATACATAAGGGAGCATTCTAAGACATCTGATGGTTAAGTGTTGAATAAGTGCTGTAAATAGTGAATGGTGCAAGAGCTAAGCAGACCAGATGAATTTTAAGACTGTGTTTGGGGAGGAAAAAAAAAAAGAACAGAGCTTTACAAATTTCTGCCAGTTGAATGTGTGTTATGTGTTCAGTAGACAAGAGTATCACAGCTTGGCTACTACTGGAGCTGTTGGTTAAGAGCCAGACTATAAAGAGCCTGAATCTAGGAGTCAGTATAGTTTTGTAGTAGAAGGTAATGCAATATGAAATTTTGGGAAAATTAAACTGATAGCTATATTTCACATGAATCAGAAATCAGATTCCTTAAAGTTAGGAAGAGCTATTAGGAGAGCCTCTAGGACTAGATATGAAATCGACTTGTTCATCGTTTTAATAGTTACTGAACGCGTCTGCTATGTGGCCTGCGCTGTGTTTGGCACACTAACCCTGCAGAGGAGAGCACTGCATGGTTTCTGCCTTTGAAGGGGTCATGGTATGCTCAGGAAAACAGACCTGTACACCAGCAATTCCAGCAAAAAGCCGTAATTATTATAATGAGAAAATATACAAAGCTGTTGGGCTTCTCTGGTAGCTCAGCTAAAGAATCCACCTGCAATGCAGGAGACCCCGGTTCGATTCCTGGGTCGGGAAGATCAGCTGGAGAAGGGATAGGCTACCCGCTCCAGCATTCTCAGGCTTCCCCGGTGGCTCAGCTGGTAAAGAATACGCCTGCATTGTGGGGGACCTGGGTTCAATCCCTGGGTTGGGAAGATCCCCTGGAGAAGGGAACGGCTACCCACTCCAGTATTCTGGTTACAGAGTCGGGCACAACTTTCACTTTCATTTGAAGTCTTAAATCCAGAAGGCAATATACTTACAGGAAAAGTTTCTTGTAATCTTTTCATAGGCTTCTCTCATAGGCAACATTTACGTCAAAAATTGAAAAAGGAACAAGAATTCACTAGAAAGTAAAGCAGAAGTCATTCCAAGAAAAAAGAAAATGTGGGCTCAAAAATTGGATTACAGTTGTAGTAACAAGTATGGCAGGGAGAAGAAGTAAATAATTTCATGCACAGTGTCATTATTACAGAAAGTAGAAGTCACTGTGATATACTCTAGTTTAGTGGTTTACAAAGTAGTTTCCCCGCCCAGCAGTATTGGCATCACCTGAGGACTTAGAGACGCAAATTTTCAGATTCCTTCTCAAACCAAGTCAGAAACTTGAAGTGAGGCCCAGCACTCTGCATTGCAGGGAGCCTTCTAGGTGGTTCTTATGCTTAAAGTTTGACCGTGATTGGTCTAACCATTTAAGATCTAATTATCAAAACAATATGAAAGCATATAGAACATAAAAGAAAGCATGCAGTCAAGTGTCACTAACTGTAATAAAAATTTAGAGAAGTGACAGATTAGTATGACCTAGTCTAATCAAGGGAAGCTTCATAGAAAAGATGGGCTTTAACTGAATTCTAAGGATTTTGTCATAGGTAGATGATTATGTGGATAAAATGAACCTTCATATAAGAGTAGAATGACAACCTGAAAAGGTTATAAAATACATGCAGAGGTACTCACCCTGCATGTATTCCTGCAA